GTAGGTCTCTGAGCCATCATAGGAGGCGTCCCAGGAGAACCTTGCTGAAACGGAGACGAGGACGATCCAGGTGACTTGGCAGTGATGTTGCTTTGTGGTCCAGATGTTGACGGTAGGGGCAGCGGGGGTCTGGGTGGTCCGCTGACACCACCTGGACCAGCCTGTTGGCTTTTAGGTTGCGGCGTAGCAAACTGCCCCATTCCTGCAGATTGTTGCTGCTGTAACTGCCCCTGCCCCATTGCATTAAATAACTGCCCCGCCTGCTGGCTACCAAACGGATACGGGGGTGGGGGGTGGTTGGGGGTCTGAACTGTAGCCAGTGACGGAGGACGTTGAACCATTTGGTTTTGAGGGGGGAGTTTTCTCCAGGCAGGGCCTCCTTGGGCTGCTGGTGGCTGGAGTACGCCAGAGGGCAACTGATTCCAGCCAGGGGGCACACCCATCGGGCCCGCTGGGTTGAATGGAGGTCGAGGTCCGAGCTGGGAGAGCTGAGCCTGCTGCTGAGCTTGCTGCTGGGCCTGCTGCTGTTGCAGTGTGGCAGGGTTGATTGGTCTGCCTGCCTGCAGAGCGTGCATGTGATGAGCAGCCTGAGCAGACATGGGGGCTGAAGCATGTGCAGCGCCCTGTTGGTGCTGAAGCTGCTGCTGCTGCTGAACTGAAATCATCATTGGATCCATCACATCTGTGACAACAGAAGAATTTTGTTTTGCAAGTGCTGTAATGTATTTGCAATTCCAACATCAATCATTAGATGCAGCAAAAATAAAGACCTAAACCTGTATGTAAAGCTGGTCTCTGTGCACGAGCGTGCATCTGTCCACTGCTGCCTGGCAACATAGGCTGACCCACCATGCCAGGCCCACGTGGGACCATCGATGGATTGGGCATCCTTACCCCGCCTAGGAAGAAAACAAAAACATCCCATCAGCTGAAAAACATGCCTATTCCTCCCTTCCACTACCACTTCATAGGGCATGACATAAAACTCAAATAAAGCTCATTGAGGTTTGAGCTGTAATGTGACATCATGTAAATAAGTTCAAGGGACATGAAGACTTTGCGAAGAATTGTAAGCAAATCAAGCAAAATCAATATTCTAAAGTGAGCAGAACAATAGCTAAAAAGAAAAAAAAAAAGAATGCTGAATAAAACAAAAGAAAAAAAAACATTTATATTGTTTTTATAACTTGCTCAGACGCAGATGTTTTCTGTAATATAGTTTGTCATTCACTGGATCATCTGTTACTATAAATTGAGAAAAGTAAACCCATACCTGGGCCAGGCTGACCTGGAAAGCCACCATCCATTCTCATCTGACCAGGTGCCCCAATTGGTCCATTCACTCTTACTTCTTGTCCTCTGTTTGGTCCAACAGCCACATTGATTGCTCCCTCGCCTGAACATTAAAACATAAAAGGAAAGCAGTAGATATGAATTTGCATGTTCATTAAATTTCCAAAGAAATCCATGTTTGGATTATGCTTCTGTCACCTTCTATTTGCACAGAGAGAATGCCCAGGTCTCTGAGCTGCTGCTGGTTGTTCTGGGCCAACAGTCTGAGACGCTCTGCTGCATCTCGGGGAATGTTGAAGGTAACACGGACGCTGTTCCAAGGCTCTACACACTGTGGCTGCAGCTTATCAGAGCCTAAAAGATGGTAATTAGATATATATTTGAAGTGATGCAAGAACACATATTTCATATAATCGTAGTGTAGTTTTTGTTTCTTATATGTGTTACAGAAAGACAAGATGGAGATGGAAAGATGAAAATGTCTAGAACACACAAGAGTTCACAGAAACAAATTGTGCGACTTGTCAAAGTTTTTAGGGCTTGTATATTTTATGCAACAAATTGCAAATTCTTTTAATAAAAAATATCACGTTATATTTTCACACTTATCAAGAATATGAAAGCCTTTAAAATTTAAGAAAGTTAAAACCACCTAATTAGAAGGAAACATAAAACATAATAAAGCAATTTTTTCCATTATAAACTTATAAACAGAGGAAAATTGAATCTGATTAATACATTTACTATGTCACAAAAAAAAAAAAACTAACCCATGTTAAGCACATTGGGTATCCCGCTGAGAACCGAGTCAAGTTTCTGAGCAAAGTCCTCATCGTTCATGTTGCCTTGAAAGGCAACAAATACTGTGGAGTCCTCGTCCTTCAGACCGTGCTCTTCCATCCCGTCTGCCTTCTTAACCTCGTCTACTTCAGTTGTGTTGCATTTATGGCAACTATCAGCTTCTTCAACTGCATCGTCCCCAACACCCGAGTCTCTGTCTGAATCGTTATCAGACTCCAGGTGCTCAGCCTCCTGGGACACGTCAGGCGTGGTTTGTTGGTGAGCCATCCTCCGCCTGTACTAGGAGTGGTGTCTGAACCGTTTTAATCTGCAGTCACATGTAAAAAAAGACTCAGGTTAGAACATCTTACAAATAAACAACAAAAATGTCAAAAAACTAACTAACTAGGTTTTCTTGACATAAAAAACCTGCGGCTTATAGTCCGGTGCGGCTTGTATATGTACAAATCATGCAATTTAGCTTCTGCGGCTAATATTCAGGTGCGGCTAATAGTCCGGAAAGTACGGTACACAAAATTTAAGCAATACAAAGTCAAACATATTATTCCTTCCTAATAAAAAAAAACAAACAAGCCAAGCACTCAGAGGAACTGGAGCTGCTCACTGCTCAGCTTTTAATTAACTTAACTCATTTTTTTAATCAAAATGAGTTGATGGCAATCAGAAATGACTTGTTGACATAAACAATTGTTAAAGCAATATTGATATTTACAAAACCACAATCGCAAAAAAAAAAAAAAGACATCAAAACACTTATACTGCACTTTGGAATGATAAAAACCACAAAGTGCTTCACAAAAACTAAAAATACATCAAATGATTTCATTTAGGGGAGATGGGCTAAAAAAAAAAAGCTTATAAAAAAGTAAGGGGCGTAATGAATAACATACTTGGTAGGCTACAATTTCTCAGTGGCCACAGTTTCCGATATTATACTTGTATCACACAGTCTGCTTGCCTTTTAGAGTAAGGCAAGCAGAAGATATTGATATTAGCAGGTCAATTGGTTGCCACCTGGCCCAGGTAGACAGGCAGCATTAAAGGAGCCACAATGCTTAAAAAAAGAATACAACACTCCTGTATTAATAACTAAAGCTCTCCAGTTTTTCTGTAGTAAAACTGATGGGTGTTGCTACTTTAATTTCCACATTATTCTCTTTAGCAACAACAAAAAAGTGTCGAATCACTGTTATGGCTGCACATTACATAGCAGATATATTGTAATAGTGATGTCAGTGTGTGTGGTACTGGTGTGGCAAAGGACTTAGAAGCAATAAGAAATAGGAAAATTCCAGCTGTCAGGAATTTTCATGTTTAACGCCAAAATATATCGAGTTTTTGGGCTACGGATCATACTAGTAAAAATGATAAATACTGGACTAAATTATGGGCCAAAATTTACACTGAATGTGCGGGTGAGCTTAAACATAATTGCGCACTTAAACGACCATTGTTGACACTCAAATATTTGACTAAATTACCTCTGGATAAGTGTGTCACATTAAACAGCGTATAGTAATGTATCTACAGTAAGCACATTATGACTGAAGCAGCACTCGATGCACCTGTAGGTCACATCAATTTGACCGGTGATGTTCAGTCTATCAAAGCAGACGTATCCCAATTTTAGAGGCGTCTTTTATCCATGTAAACTATAATGTGGCTTCTACCCCCAGCCAGTTAATATCACAGGGTTTAAATGGAGCACTTTAAACGAGGTCCAGCTTTTTTGAATGATGATGGGGCCCAGCAGGAGTATGGGCCTTAACGCGAATATAAGGCAACGAAGTTCCCGACGCAAACGCTCATATACAGTTTCGTTTGTCCAAATGCACATTCAGCCGACACCAGACAACGTCTGCACCCCGCATTTTCACGTTTTAGGTGATGCATCTTAAAAATATGCAAACTGGAAGTCAAAACTGTTCATCCGAGCTTCTCCGTCAACTACAGCTAATTCCAGCTAGCCACCGCTAGCCAGCTCTCAGAAAAGGTAACTCATCACGAATCCATTTAAGCGCCTACGCTTAGCTGAAAAAAAATCACTTATTTTAAATTTCTGCATCTTACAATTAGTAAGAGAGAAACACCTTACCACACATAATCGCGGGAAAATAGGGTTAACCAGTTGAAATCTGCTTGCTAGGAAGGCTAACAAAACATGATTCTCGTTAGCAGGTTAACAGAACGACTTCCGGTGATGCTTTCCAAAATAAAACTGCAGTTGTTGTAAAAGCTTGAGCAACGTCGTTTAAAAAAACATACAATTTCCTTTATTTATCCCTCGTGTGTGTCTGGATATTTTGTTTTTAAATATTATTTTCGCCATGATGATGTGTTGTTTCTGTGTTAAATACTCCTTTCCTTCCATGCGGTGGAATTGCAAAAATAGTATGTATGTATGTATAGATAGATAGATAGATAGATAGATGATAGATAGATAGATAGATAGATAGATAGATAGATAGATAGATAGATAGATAGATAGATAGATAGATAGATAGATAGATAGATAGATAGATAGATAGATAGATAGATAGATAGATAGATAGATAGATAGATAGATAGATAGATAGATAGATAGATAGATAGATAGATAGATAGATAGATAGATAGATAGATATTTGCACAAAATAAAAATGGATCAGAATTAATGTTGATGGCAATTCTAGACAATCAATTTTTCAGAAAGTCTCCCCCCAAAGAATATGAGCATACAAAGGGACAGGGGGAAAAACATGAGATTCGCAGAGGTTGAAATGCTGAAAAATCGAAATTATGAAATAAAAAATGAGTAATTATTGTTGCTGCCCCGTTTTCACAATCACAGGTTTCTCTGTTTATGCGGCCATCCATACGTAACCCTAACCCATGTTGAAATCTCATTTAAATGAAAAACAGAAAGATAGAACTAGTTAAACCTTCTTTATTGTTTGGTCGGATGGTTAACTGTTTGCCCAGATATCAGATGTGCAAATGTGTGCGCTGCACTCCAAAAAGATGAAAGACCAAAACTCATCTAACTAGCTGAGATTGGCATTTATATTTCAGTGATAAAGTATGCAAAAACATTTTGCTCAAAAGTTAAATACAATCTAATACAATTGCACCGGTACACACATAAGACGCACTGATTTTTGTGTTATTAAAACTATATAAATGATAACGCATACAGTCAAATAAACATTGTCTTAAAAACAGAAATCACATTAAATTATTTGGAAAGAATCCAGCCACATAAGCTTAAAATTAAGAACATTTAAATATTCAGTTTCTACAGGATTAGATTAATTGCACTCATCAAACATTTACTGATATCTAAGACCTGTGGAACTTAATAAAAATATCTTGATAAGGAAAAGAGAAAAGAACATAATTTAGTCTACAATTGTGGGTATCAACTTATCAGTGTCAGTGCATCCGTACAGTATTCACAGCACTTCACTCTTTCCTCATTTCATTGTGTTACAGCCTTATTTGAAATTGTTTGAAATGTATTTCTTTCCTCAAAATTCTACACACCAATGCTCCATTATGACAATGTAGAAAAATGTTTTTGAGAGTTTTGCAAGAAAAAGAAAAGAAAAACAAAAAAGAAAAATTATTTGAGTCCAGACTTGAATCAAACTAAACATCCCCAACAGAGATCTGGCTGCATGGATGTCTCCCGTCCAACATGATGGAGCTTGAGAACAACTGCAAAGAATGAGATAAATTGCCTAGAGATAGGCAGATACTGATTTTAGGCTGTAATCATTGCCAAAAGCGAATCAACAAAGTATCAAGCAAATGCTGTGAACACTTTTGTAAATGTGATTTCTAGGTTTTCTTTTCTTTTTTTTAAATAGAAGACCAAGAATTAGCTGGTCATAAATTTAGAAACACACGACCATAATGGAGTGTGTGTAGGTTTTTGAGGAAAGAGATTAAATTGACACAATTTTGGAATAAGGATGTAACATATCAAAAAGTAGAGAAAGTGAAGTTATCGGAATACTTTCCGGTCCCAAAAAGTCAACGCAACAGTTCCATTTCCAGCAGCTTCACCAAGTAACATCGAATCACAGTTACATGCCACAGAAAGAGCAGTGGAGGTTGTTAGTTTAGTCTGAGACGCTCCTTCTCAGGTGAGATGCAGCAAGGATTTGTAAGAGGTGTAAACATTTCTACTAAGCTCTAGGTGGTTATGTGAAATGCAATCACAAAGTCAGCAAAGGTGATTCACATATGTTATAAATGATGACTTTTTGGTCTGGCATACCCCTTCATTTTTCCAACGAATCCTTGCAAAAGAGTGATTATTTTCCAAAGGAATTTCACTCATAACTCCTGAAAGCCATTTCTAGTGCAAAACTCGGGAACTTAAGTAGTAAACAAAATAGTTCCCATTTCGCCACCTTCGGACAAATAACTTCACCAACCGCTCATACTTCTGTTTCACTTTGATTCAATAAACTTTACATTACTGTGTATAATACAAGCAGCTGACTTTTAAGCCATTTCTGGGATGGGTGTGTTCACTATTATCAACATTAAAGTGGATCTACTTTCCAATTGAAAATTCTAAAAGAGGGTCAGATTTGTACCGTGTTAGTTCGGGGAAACCTCCATGTGTTTCTGCTGTTAGATGATTGCAGAGCAGATTAGCTTGTTTTATTTATTAAGCGGCCTCCTTTCTTCGTCATTAAAAATCACTTGCTCTCGCACTAAGGCATGTGGGACATAGTGAGGGCGGAGGCATCAGCACTGCGGGGATCTTTCACCCCGATGATGAGATCATTGGTTCTCCGTGTTCCCTCCACCAATGAAAGAACTTCCCTCCATTCGACATTGTGCCCTTTTGCTTCCAGCAGCTCCACGTCATCCTTTAAAAACTCAGCTGTAGCAGGTAAAGTAAAAGAAAAAAGAACACGACAAGAAGGTTAAGATATTTTTTCTCATGCGGTTTAAATATAACAAAGGGTGTAGCAATCACAACTTGTTCAGGTTATGTGTACTGCATGTCTCTATGAGATATTTTACACTGTTGGTCACTTTTATAGCAACCCTGCCTTCAAATAAGTTAATCTTTTAGTGTGGGAGCATAATCTAAAACAGAGCTTTTAAGAAAAGGCACACTTTTTGTTACATTTTTGAGCTTATATGGCCATGTGTTAAGGATGAACATTTCACCAGACCATTTGATGACCCACTTTCTATTTTGTGGCATAATATCCGTGCTGTGCAGTCAAACAAGGTTTCCACAGCTTTTGGAAGAGAAACAGGCCCACACCATAACAGATCCCCCACCATACTTAATGGTCTGTGATGCTGTGCTACATACAAATTCTTTGTTTCAAGCCAGAGCCATCTGGAGTGTGGCTCTGGCTGATGTTTGTTCTCAGCTGATGTTTGTTCTCAGCTGACCACAGTGCGTTCCTCTTATAGTCTCAGTAAGGTATAGTAAATCGGTGTGTTTGCATGTGATACGACAGGAAAGACCCGCATATGGAAAGCAGCTAATAGCTGTATACAGGTGCTGCAGTTTTATAACAGTGATGTTTGTTGACGTTTTCGTGTCTATGATACCATCCTGCTCTCTGTGTGTTTGGTGGAAAAATAAATATGGGTCACTGTCCAACTTACAGAACACATACATGGGTCTCAGTCTCATGTCATGTTTATACTTCAGAAAGACAAAAATTTAAGAGTTACTGTAAGATCCCAGAAAGTCTAAACATCTGACAAAGTTAATAAAGGCATTTAAAATTGTCTCAACATTTTGCTTAGCTCTGGTAAACTGCTGGTATAGACACAGACACTTGGTGTCTTTGTTTGCCAGAGGCAAGCTTCTACTTTACAGAGTGCATAATAAATTATGCAGATAAAGGTAACGATTTGCAACAGAACATGCTTAGAGCAGGAGAGGTTAATATTACTATGTTTGTGATATTAACCTCTCCTGATAAAAGAGGAAAAACTCACCGTCCACTAGGAGTATGTTGTCCTCCAGCTGTGGGTGGAGTCTGCCATACGCTAAACTGTCACTCATATTTTTGCGCAAAGAGAGAACATTCATAAGTACCTGTGGAGGAATTACGTGAACTGTAATAAAATATAAATTTTATGAGAGCTGTACGTGTAACAGGACTAAAAGGTGAATATTTAACCTGTGTGATGCCGCTCAGGGCCTTCTCTCCGTTGGAAGATCCAACGGCCACATATGTGCCGCATAATCCCATGGCTGGCCTCACCGCTGTGGGCATCAGGAAGGACATGGGTCTTTTTCTAGCCTCAATGAGGTTATGCTGCAACAACAAGGAAAACAAAGAAAAGAGCCGTAAGACGGTGCAACAAATAATTTGTTGATGATGAAGAAGTAGGTCAAGCTGAAGGTTATACATACAGGGTTAGGTGATGAGCTCAGTGTTTCATTAGGCCACGAAAAGTCCAGGATCTGGCTATTTAGAAGAATACCTGACGCAGTCACTATCCTACTGCCAAATGGTTTATTTAGCGAGCTAAAAGAAAATAAAAATACAATGAGTTGCAACCTTAACAATTTGGGTATTTTTTTATCAAACTGATAATAAGACGTACCTGACGACTGAAACAATGTGGTCATCTGGGCCCATAACCATGACTTGTGCGGCTGCTGCTCCGTCGTTCATTGGAAATGATGAAGTGTAATGGTTGACAGAGAACGCTTGGGAGTCGTTGATCATCTTTCGGAGCTGGGAAGCCTCTGGTTTACTGGAAGACCAAAGGGAAGAGGTTCTGTACTGACGTTTTACTAAGAGAGAGAATAATTTGGCGTCTTACAAGGTGGAATCATTTGTACCTCAGCATCTTGTCAACAATCTCTGAGACCGAATTGTTAAACATAGGGTCTCCCAGCCCACTGGAAAGGGCCAATGCTATCTTCACAGCCTGGGGAAGTTATTGTCAAATAAAACAGAAGAAAACACAGAAATCAATCCAGCAGGCAAAGTGGTGATACTCTATAATCAGAATTTAAAAATTATTATTTACCTCTGCAATCCAGTGGTAGGTGCTACTTCTGGGTACTTGGCTGGTGATGTTGTAGCCTTCAAGAATATTGAGTGCAGTGATCAATCCAACACCCGCATGTGGGGCTGGTGCGGCCATGATATGATGTCCTTCAAAAACACCAACAAATCACAATATTAAAGACATGATGACATCAAACACAAACAAATCAAATAATAAAATGGGCGGAAATATGTGGTTACTAAATAAGATCAGTGTTTGCATTGAATTTGGATTCCTAGACTAAAAACAGGTCACTTCAGGTCCAAAAGAGCATCAATGACACTTCTGCCAAAGTCAAGAATGAACATTTAGGTCATTCTAGAATCATCCAGGAAACCCAGAGGACTAGTAGAAAAAAGTGTCTATACCACATCAAGTGAATATAGTAGTTGAAAGTGTCTCTCCAACTGCTCAGATGGGTAACAAGGAACATTTACCTTGATAGGTGATTTCCACCGGCTGTTGTATGACAGTGCTGTAGTCTCCAAAGTCTTCCTCCGTCAGCACACCATCTTTTGCTTTCACCTATTACAAAGCTAGAATTAGGTTAAATATGTTTATATTGCTTGCTTTTACAAAACATATTTCATCAGTTTGAGTTAAATATGTTCCTTGTGTCAAGTAAGAGACAAACTTTTCAAGATGGCGATGAGGAACGAGATTTTCCAGTGTTTGCAACCGACTGCACTATGTCATCTATCATCAAGCTAAAGTCTTCCTCGAGTGTGTCAGTGCCTCGCTAATCAAACACACAGCTTAACACCAGGGAGTGTACTTTTAAAGGTCAGGACCTTCAAAAGTAGGGTCACTGAAATGGCTGAGTGGCAATATCAAAGGATGAATGGTTTGTTTGTTTCTAATACGCTGATATTTATTCAGCCCTGTGTAGGTCATTTTATTGAAAAGTCAAATCTCACTGTTCAGCAAGGGTTTTATGTGACAGACCAATAGCGCAGAGATCAACAAAGAGAAAGGAAAATGATACATCCTGGTACAACAGCTTTTTATGTATCAAAAATATGAATTCAGCCACCTTTCCATTAATATTGTTTAATTAAGTTGACTGCAATCGATTGCCATCAGAAGCAATAAGATTACACAGGTGGGATGCAGAGATCAGCATATCAAGTGAGACAATTTGTTTACGACACAACTGTGAGTTAAGCACTCCAAAAATCTGGAGTTTATGGGGTAAGAAGAAAGTTATTGTCGAAATAAAGCAACAAGAAGTCCTGTTTGGAGTCTGTCAAAAGCCATGAAGAAAAGCCACAGAAAACGTGGAAAAAAGTGCTCTGGTCAGATGAGACCAAAACTAAACTTTCTGGAGTGTTAATGCAGAAAAGTTGTCCTCAAATCATCTGTACAAGGTTAATCTGCAGCTTACTCATCAAAGCTACACAATCAGTAGAGTTATCATTGAATGCCGCCAAAATCTATAACTTTCTTTAGAGCATGATGCAACAAGACAGTCTATTATAAATGTGTTAAACTACAGGCTATATAGAAAATTTAATATAATTTGTGTTTATGATATTCCTGTGCAACCAGTGATAACCATATTATCAACATCAATTCCATTTTGACATTAGTGTTCAATAAAACCAATAAAATGATAGAATAAAATGAAGTAGACTTTTGATTGTCTGCAGAACAAAACTCATCTTGTAGGAACACTATACAAAATTTATGACTGCTAATAACTAGACAGAAATCAATCTTCCTTACTGCAGCCACCATTTCCTGTGCCAGCTTCCCAGTGTAGAACTCTGATATTCCTTTGTCTGCAACCGCATCCAAAATGTCTGCTAAATCAAGGCGCCGGGTGAACTGCCCGGAAACTGGAGCGTGACCGTTGGGGAGGAACAAATCCCGAAATGCGTCTGACACATTCTTATTCTTCACTTCATTCACAGCTTCCGCTGCAAAACAATAAACAAATGAAAGGGAGAGCGAGGTGAGGTTACAGCTGAAGTTTGTGTGCCTTCACTTCAAGTTGTTTGAGAGAAACAAGGTGCCCTGCTTCTGCCTGCAAAAAGGAGCAACTGTAAGGACAATTAGTTGCACCCGGAGTCTGGCATGATAATAATCTATAATTACCCAGATCGTGAGTAACGTTGAATCCATTTCTGGCTACATCTGCTGCCATGGAAACAACATCCTTCCACGGTATCCTAACAAAACAAAATATTAAGTCAACAGACAACTTAATAGTCATGCTAGCAATCCTCAGTTAATCATCTTAAGTTGATAAAGCCAGATAGTATAAAATACTGCTTGCTGGCACATGATAGCACAGCAGGCAACAATTTCACTGCAAAAGCAACAACTTTGCTCTGGAATCACAGCCAGATCTTGTATTTTACATCTGAACATGACAGATGTAAATAAAATATTGTTACAGTTCACTTAACACATAAAAAAAGCCATAAAATAAAAGCAAAATATTTAGTTTTATTAAAAGAATTTTAACAGAAAAATGAAATTAATGGAGATATGCAAAATATAATGGCTTCTAATAGATTTAACAAATAACTTTATCTGCATAAGGACCTGCCATAGAGCTGGTGAGCCTGATGCATCCCACTGAGCATCCCTGGAACTCCCACTACCAACCCTGACTGAAAGAAATTAAACGACATGTCAGAGGCAGCAGAAAGCGACTTCAGACCTTTATCTCTCACTTCTACCAGGCTGACATGAAGAAGAAAAACTTACTTTAAGGTCAAGGTTTGCGAGCAGCATGTCCTCCTGAATGGCAGCTGGTGCCGTCTCTCTGAAGTCAATCACTCTTGTCTCATTTTTACGAATGTTGTGCACCAACATGACGCCACCACTACACATCAAAAGAGCGCAACGCAGACGTTCAAGCAAGCATAATGATTAAGTTAGCAAGCATAAAGCATGTGATGAACCAATAAAAAGTAGTGCTGATTGTATAATTATTGTTTTTGAACATTCAATTTTGGCCTCATATACGCTATGTCCACTGCATGCTTTGTGGAGAAATAGTAGAAACAACGCTTCTTATGTTGTTCATTCAACAGTGGTTTTATTTCTGCCATTCTTCAATGATGAAGGCCAGATCTGTGGAGTGTTTGACTAACAATTGCCCAATCATCAAATTCTCTCACCTGAGCTGTAAATCTCTGCAGCTTAGCTCAGTTTTACCACTGGCCTCTTGGCCGCTTCTCTGATTAATGCTCTCCTTCCCTGACAATCAATTTGGGCTGGACGGTACGTTTGCAGTCTCTTCCGATACTCAGATGATGGACTGCATGTAACTCAGTTAGATGTGAAAAGCTTGTTATTGTGTTTTATACACAATAACAAGCTCTTTAAACCTCACCAAACTTTTGTTATTGGTCTTCCTGTGATGTTCCTTCATCTTTATGTTGTTGTTTTTAAGTTTAAGAGACTCACCCTCCAATGCCAGAGGTGTGAGGGTGTACAATTCCCAAACAGAGAGCAGCAGCGATGGCAGCATCCACACTGGACCCCTGCTTCTCCAAAACCTCAAACCCCAGAGATGTACACTGAGCTACATCTGTCACCACCGCTCCCTGGTTAAAGACCTAAAAACATAAAAAGACAACAGAAGGATGCATATTCATCACACCTTTATTGTGAAATGGCTTACACAAGTGCAGACAAGCAGATACACACCGTAATCTCTTAATTATTAATTTCAGAGAAGCAGAAGTGATGCAAAGCTGTTGGCATTAAATGAGCAGGAAGCAGCAGTAGGCCAGTACCTGTGGATCGCCAAAGTAGATCTGCATGATGAGGGCAACAGTGACTCCAGTAGCGAAGGTGAGACAGGCTGTGATAATGACCGTCAGCCCGTCCCGCTGACAGGCGCAGTCCTCTGTGAAAGGGTCGACGGCGGTCTCCCGCAGCGAGGCGACATCGTGGCCAGCCAAGTCTGAGGCGGAGGATGGGAGACGCTGCAGGCGAGCCGTCTTGAGAAACAGATCTGGGTCTGGGATGAGTAAAGCATAAATGAAAAGCAGCCATAAGTGGGAAAGAAGATGACACAGTGTTTCACAAAAAAAAAAAAAAGCACCTGGTGTTAGATTTCACTTCTAAATTACAACTCAGTGTAGTGAAACTAGAACTAACTGAACTTGTGTGAGTGATTTATTGCAGTGGTTCTAACCAAAGATTTAAATGAACAGGCAAGATAAGCACTACTAGGAAGTATTTTTGCATAATGATTCCTGAAGTGACTTCCTGTGTCCTACCTGTGTCTTGCTCGCTCAGGACGTTGTCTTCATCTTTGCGGGATTTCAGGGTGTTTTCTCCAGATGTCACATCATCCTCTGGCAGCCGGGGGAAGCTGGTGATGCTCATGTAGTCTACTGGAGAGTAAGCGCTCCCCAAGGTTGTCTCCGGGTTGGCATCCTTGTCCACTCCACTTGCACCCGGATAGGCTGCCACGGCTTCTGGAGCAGGGTTGTGCATGACTTGCAGTGGATCTTGTACTGACTCTGTTTTCTAAATTCTTGAATTAGGCCAAGAAATACATGTTTGTAAAAAAAAAAAAAAAAGTGGTGGAGGAAGGTAATAAGAAATCTATTGATTTCCTCTTTTTAGGGACTGCAAATCCGGAACCTGCAGCTTCTTTAAATCCTCATGATATCCCAATCCTGCAGGGATTTGTAGTTTTAAGTGTGACTGTGGCACATCTAGATCACTGCAGCCGGGTTTAATTGGGAAACGTCTCATTAAGCCAAAGCACACGTGTGTAGCTCCAATGCAGGTGCTTTTCCTTCCACCTGGACATAAAAACAAACATGCAGATTGACTGACTAGTTTTAGATAAGCAGTTTCCTGATACAGCGACGATGAGCTGCGTCTGATGGGATTCAATAAAACTACAAGACGCCTAAAGCAAACGTTTGCACATAAGACGTCATGTTCAATGGAAAGGTCAACTAACAAACGAGTGTGTTGTCAGTAGAAACAGCAGCGTTGTTACCTGTTAAAACTCTGAGGTTGAATTAGTGCGCTGTTTATTTACCGCGCTGCTACAAGCTAACGCATCTTTCCATATATACTGCTTCTAAGAGCATCGGTGTGAGGCAATAATACTTACCCTCGTCGTAAAATAAATGTTCAATATAAGCGTTCCTTGGCGGTGTTTTTTTTAATTATTTTTTTCTATGTTTTTATGCGGAGCCGGTGAGGAGGAAGGACGGAGACCGAATCGCTCCCCGCAGACAGACAGACAGACAGACAGCCGCAGCTCGACGCTGAAGTTCACTTCCTATTGAGTGTCGGACAACCGGTAGGACTTGTTTGGGGATAATTATCAGAATATGAACACTCTGTTTTAAATATCCATTTGAGTGTAACTGAAAGGTAAAATTGGATGCCTGTAATATTTTCCAAGCGAAAAAATTAGCCAGAGGGCTCTGGTCGTCTTCTTTATGCCAACGTCAGACTTACTTCAGTGGAAAAGAGCTTGAGGCCTTGATGGTTCACTGAAGTCTCCTTCTGGGAAACATAAATCCCGAGCCTCTTCTCTTCGCCTTTCTGCATCATTGCAGGAACAAGAGGGGAAACTCTCTGCGCGATTCCAGGACTTGCTGCCTCCGAGTGTTGGTGAACTGGCTGGAGTGGATAAGCATGTCATAGCAGGTGCATAAACCTGCTCAACCTTAAACCCTCCCTTTATTTATTGTCTGACAAAACAATGAAAGAGTCTCAGATGTCGGTCTACTGTTACTTTTTCTCTCTCTTTTTATTATTTGTTCCGCAAAGGGGGGAAAAAAGATGAGAGAAAAAAAAAACAGGTGGCAGCTATATTAATAGTTGTGTTTTGACATGGGCAAAAGGGCTTTTTGCCCAGGGTAGCATCCCAACCCAGGGCGCCATGAGACAGTGACTGTGTTCATGAGACTCTGACTCCTCTGGAACCCAACGTACAAATAAATAAACTCCAAAATAGAAGCTTATATTTCAGTTCTGATATTAATTGGGAGACACAGATGTCATTCCAGGTCTCAACGCCAATAATTTAAATACAAAAAAACAGACATGCAAGTCTGTTTTTATGTAAGGTACAGAAATTTCTGAAAGCTTATGTGAAGATACTACATCTGCATAATATCGTCACTTTTCTCCATACTTTATGGCAACATTATTTGCAGCGATATACTCACTTGCACTCCCATTTAAAGAACTTTTTATTCAATTTTCTAAAATTTCTTGATCGAGCTCTTGGTTTTCCTCGAAACATTTCCCATTTTAAAAGCACACTTGTGAAAGAGCGCCTCTCCCTCCATTTCCCTTCATGTTCTATTTTACTTTGATTTATTAATTTTGTGCAGGGAATCAGAAGGAGGAACTTAACTGTGGTGCTGTTAATGCAACTCCCCCTGGCCACATTATAACATTATAAACCTGAGACAAAAAATATCACCCTCACTGCCAAAAAGAAATCATGGAGATTTGTGCCGTTCCTTTGGGGTGTTTATTTTTAGCATAATTGTGTGTGTTTTCACAGTTGCTGTATTGAGTTTCTTGTGCACACTATTTTAAGTCAGTGTTACACACAAGAACACAACGCCCAGATCTACAGACAATATTTACACTTGATCGCCACACCCGTCTGTTCACATATTGTGGATTCATTCCTGAACTATTTCTTAACTACATTCACCTTGTTGTCTCCAACTGTATAAGCATAACCAGCCCTTCATTGCTAGGGTGTGTAAAAGAAAGTTTGAATTTCATGTAATAAGTTAAGACATATAAATAAAGATTCTCTTTAACAATATTTTTATGCCAAACTGTTTATTCATTAGAACAACTAATATATCACTTCCTACATTTGGAGATGTTTAATTGCATTCATAAATTAATGTTGCACTTAAAATAATGACACAGAATTCAGGTCTTAACCTGAGTATTTATTCTTGTTGTTACTGTTATTGATCAGTTTCTTTTTTAAATATATGTATATATATTGTTATTGGAGGGGCGACTGTATGAATGCTGAAAATTTCCCATCCGATGATTTTTTTTTAAATTTATTTATTTTTGCATAGATCTTGTGTGTCAGTGGATGACTTGTTCAAGGATGGGGAATCAGTACATCACAAAAACCATGCAGAAACAGTGAAAAGGCACAATCACCATAATTATCAGATACACCAAACTTCAAATGTTTACAGGTTTATGTTTTGTTTTTGTTTGTTGTTTTTTTAATGAATGAGGGAGGGGTTGTACCAACTCAGGTGTAATATGGACAAATCCTCCAGAGTATTTTTAAGCTGCCATTATTTTCAGGGCACAACATGATACTGAAAATCGCCTCCCAGACATTCAATGCCTTTTGTTTGAAACACCCATGCTGTTGAACAACTTCTAATAGCTATGTGGGAAAATACGAGCATGTCCATGTTTTTTTCTTTCTTTCTTTAATGCAGTACATTTCTTTTCATATATAGAAACTATTTGTCTTTTGCCTCTTTTTGTCCACATCCCCAGCATCCATCCACAACCAATTTTTGAGAACTTTCACGCAAAGCATAACACCTTAATGATAATCAGACACAACATACAGAAAATATGTTTCATTTTTTGAGTGAGGAAGGGCAGGGGGATAGAAAAAGATTCAAAACAGAAAACAATTTCCAACTGCAGAGTCATCTGTGGTGATTTTGCACACTTACATACACTTGTGATCTTTCACTGTTTTATTTGCAACAGATGGACATTATCTACCTCTCAGGCACAGAATAGTGTTGGAATACTGTGGCTATCATTAAAGACAGTCGTGTGTGTGTGTGTGATAAGTTCAACACCTCATATGCTCTGCATTATTGAGGATCTAAATGGTTACATAATATTTATCTTCAAAGCAAACAAAAAAAAACAAGGTAGTAGGCTATTCACTTTTTTTATATTTTGAGTGCAAAGACTTTTTCATTCATAGGATCACAAGAGGAAACAAAAAAAGGTACATCAGAAAAAAAATCTTGTAATGTCACTCATTCAAGCAAAACATCAAGACAACAATCAGAAATGAATCCACAGACAGTCTTTCTGTTGAACTCCTGCAGAGATGTATTCAAACTATGTCATCGTTGCTGTGTGACGTCGTTACCATTCATACAGTAGGTGCTGTGCGACACTGCCCTCTACAGGGCAGAGTTTGCCTATGGCACATTAACTGAGTCTAGTGATGTTTTGGGTGTTTTTCTGAGACCATTTGCAGTCTCGTCGAACCTCAGTCCCCACTGGGAACCTCAGCCCACAGTGGGGCCAGAGCCTCTGACATCTATAATGGAGAGTTGTAAATTGTTTTATAATATTTACAAGAAAAATAAATGACCAACACTTTTTTATATATATATAATTAGTATTTTCCCCAATATAGGAAAGGTTCTAGCATTTAATGTGCCAGTACACCTTCTCACACATCAGAATCCAAAACAAAAAAAAGTTTCACGAAAGAAAAAAATAAAACAAACAATCACACAGCACACTGCTAAAACTTTTACCCACACAATATCTGACAGTGCAAACTTACATCCATGTCTTAAAATAATTTACAAACATTAGTATACACTTCAGCACCATTGTTTAATATTGTCGAATACATATCAGTAAGCGAAATCGTAAAAGTGGACGATGTTAGAGCTGGATGTGCAAGCAACAAAAAGGGCTGGACATTTATGGAGTAGTTGGTAGAGCGATGTTGCGTGTTGATGAAGCGGTGCGAGGTGATTGCTGTATGACACTAAGAAAATTGTTGTTTCTATTTCTTTTAATACAGTGCCTTGCAGAATTATTCATGCGCCTTGAACTTTTTCACATTTTGTCACATGGCCACCACAAACTTCATTTAATTGGGATTTTTAGGGGACCAACCAAATTAGGGTATGATTGTGAAGACTAATCTTTATGAAAAAAAATGGTTACAATGTTGAATTGTTACAAGAAAACCATAATAGATCTAAGCCATATAAAAGACACAGCAAATGTGTGGGAAAGTGTGCTGGTCAGATGAGACTAAAGTGTAAAACTTTTGGCTTTCATACAAAATCTTGTGTGTGGCAGAAAATGAACAAGAACACAGCATTCCCACTGCTAAACATGACAGTGGCAACATCATGCTGTGGAGTTGCTTTTCTTTAGCAAAACAAGGAAACCGGACAGAGGTCATTGGTAAATAAGTAGCTAAGTAGCTAAATAGGACAATCCTAACCTATCTCCCCCGCAGTTGAGATAAAGGCAGGGGTTCACCGTCCAGCAGAACAACGACCCTAAATATACAGCTACCAGGGAATGGTTGAGAGTGAAGCCCTTTCATGTGTTGGAATGCCCCAGTTAAAGCTCAGACCTTATGACAACAGAGAAAATGTGTCAAAGCTTGAAAACTGATGTTCATAGACCCTCAGCATCCAGGCTTACTCGGCAAGAGATATTTTGCAAAGACAAATGGGCAGAAATGTATGGTTACATGTCCAAAGCTGGTAGAAATTACTTGCAACTGTAACTGCTACAAAAAGTGGTGCTATCATTGGCTCAAAAGGAGCAAGGTGAGCCACAAATTTCAGGTTTTCTACTTGTACACATTTTCTTCTACTTCAAAATTATTCTCTACTTGTTGGTCTCACATAAGCATGTAGTGGCAATGTGACAAAGTGTGAAAAAAATCAAAGGTTATAAGCCTTTTTCCAAGGTATTGTAGACCACTTTCAATATGTTATTGTAAAATTAAAAAACCCAACCATAACTACATAGTTAATTTAAGTTCACAGCACATTTTGTTGTTAAACATGGCTGGGCAAATGACATAACTCCTAGGAGAATTAATTTGTTAACTTCAAAACCAAATCTTTCCATCTGACTGCAGGAAGAGTTTTATCTTCTATCTTGGTGGAAATTTGCAAAAGAGACTTCAGATAAAATAAGATGGAATCCATGTTATGAGAACAAAATAAAGAGTTGCCTTCAATACCGCTTTTCACCTACCATGTCTTGTTGTCCCTTGTAACCCAAATGTTGAGCCCCAAATCTCTGAATTCTCACTTGCTGTTCTGAGAGTTAAACCACTTTTTTAAACCATATACTGAGGGATTCATTTTACTCTTTAGTCTGTTTTGCACATACTCTCACCATCTCCTACATGCTGTGGCCTTCTTCACGAGGTAGAGAAGAGAATCAATTGTTTCCTCTGGCAACACTCCTTTTTTAGTAAAGCAACTTTGCAGACAAACCAACTTGTGCTGACTTTTCTCTTCTTCTCACCAGACGGTATTTTCTTCGCCCTTTTGTAAGCAAAACTAACCGAATTAAAACCATGATCATGTTTATTAGATTTGCTATGAAGAGTGTTCCTGCAGTCAGAATATGAAAGAAGGGGCTATTTCAGTCTTATTTTATTTTTTATGATGGTTACACAGTATTATGGTTTTAAAGAAGAAAAATAAAACTCATATGTCTTTAAAAGGTTTTTATAAATCAATAAGACTCAACTACTGCCATTTTGAGAAATTAGAACTGGATAAAGCTTGAAAATGCACTTATTTTTTTATTTTTTGTTGTTTATTCCGGTGGACAAAAAGGGGGTAGTCATATCGTCTGTGAAGATCGACATTTAGTAACTGCTTCCTAACTGCAGATTGGATGAAAATTGACCAAGATGAGTCAAT